TCGAAAGAGAAACTGTTAATGAGTATGTTAAAGCTGTAATGAAATGCTGCTTCTTAAAAAAAGGAAAAAAAAGAATGCACTGTTGACCTTTGTGAATGCATTCTTAACCTCTTTGTTTCTCAGGCTGTTAGACCAGAGGGTTCAGCATGGGGATGACCGTAGTATAGAATACAGACGCTATTTTGTCAGTGTCCATGGAGTGACTGGTGCTGGGCTGCAGATACATGAAGCTGACAGTCCCATGGAAAATGGAGACTGCAATGAAGTGGGAGGCACAGGTGGAAACAGCCTTTTGATGGCCTGGAGCTGAGTGCATCTTTAAGATGGTGACAAAAATGAACATGTAAGAAGTCCCAATAACTATGACAGCAAAAAAGACATTTAAACTCTCGACACAAAGAAGAACCAGTTCACTAATCTATCAAAGCAAGCAAGAACCATGACTGCAGGAACATCACAGAAAAAGTGGTGGACCACATTGGACTTACAGAAAGTGAGACTGAATATGCCCCCAACATGAATGGAGGCATTCAGGAAACCAATGACATATGGGCCAATGACCAGCAATGCACAGACACCTCTTGTCATAGTGGTGGCATAGTGCAGTGGCTTACACACTGCTGCATAGCGATCATAGGCCATGAGGCCAACAGGTAATTTTCTGCAGTTCCAAATGTTCCAAAGAAGAGCATCTGAGCGGCACAGGCATTGTAGGAAATGACCTTGTCTCCTACAAGAAGCCCAGCCATGACTGTGGGAGTTATAGCTGAGGAGTAACAAAAGTCCACCAGAGACAGGTTACCTAGGAAAAGGTACATGGGAGTGTGGAGCTGAGAGTCCAAGAGAATCAGGATCATCCCCAGGTTCCCAACCAGTGCGATGGTGTAGATGAGGAGGAAGGTGATAAAGAGGGGAATCTGCAAGCCTGGGTCATCGGTGAGTCCCAGCAGGATGAACTGTGTCACTTCTGTCCTGTTCCCTATCAAGGATAGCAATCTCTGTATCAATGGGAAAGGAGGAACAGAATTATTTGAAAATTGAAATGACAAAATAAAAATTTCTTTCCTTCATTATAGGGCCAAACTGTACATCTGTATTCTTCCAAACAAGTGTGGACTTCAATTAAAGTGAGTGCTTCAATCCCAGATGTACCATGTCTGGGGAATCTTAATAGCTCACTTACATAATTTTAAAAGAAAAGAAAAAGTCGAGATTTCTTAAACAGTTTTAGGGCCGGCTGGGGAGATGGTTCAGTGAGTGAAGCCCTTGCCATGCAGGCATGAGGATCTGAGTTCAAATCCTCAGTACCCATATAAAAGCTGATAAAGTGGTACGTATCTGTAATCCCAGCGCTGGGGAGGCAGAGACGTCAGCATCCCTAGAGCTGGTTGTGTGGCCAGTGTAGCCAGTTGGTGAGCTCCAGCTTCAGTGAGAGACCTTGCCTCACATGTAAGGTGGAAAGCGGTTGAGGAAAACACCTGATGTTGGTCTCTGGCCTCCACAGACATGTCCACACATATACACACAGAGAAAATTTTAATTCAGATTTAAGCACAGGCATTAAGGGAGAGAGAAGTGCTTAGGAAAAAGACCATACATTCTCAAAGATGTAGGTGTGGGCTTCTCTAGAGAGAGAGCTGTGCCAAGAACCTTTTTGTTCATTTGGGTGTTTTGTTTTTTGAGACAGGTCTCCCTAAAATCCCAGCTGACTTGGAACTCACTATGTAGACCAGGCTAGCCTGGATCCCACAGAGATCTGCCTGCCTCTACCTCCCCAGTGCTAGAATTAAAGGTGTGTGCCACTATACATGGCACAAAAAACTTAAATGACAGCAGTTCGGTTGAGCCATTTGCTCTGTGGCGTGCTTGGTAAGAGCCCGTGAGCAGGCTGCTCAGACTCACCCTCTGCCTTTCGCTTTTCCCCTCTCGGGAATCAGCTGACTACCTTGGCTGAGGTTTTTGAAGTTCTTTCTCACAGTCACTTCTAATCAGATCCTTACATGTTAGTCCTCTCTTGCCATTGGCTTCCTTGCGAACTCTGACCGACTAAGCCTCAAAAATGTTTGGATGTGGTATATTTTGAGTTAACTGTTAGCATGATACAATTTGGAAATTTTTCTTAAATAAAAATTTGTTCTTTGAGAAATTAAAAAAAAATATATAACTTCATTACAAAAATGGTTAGTTGGTAGAACTCATTTGTGTCTTCAGGCCTACTGATATCTATTAGAGCTTGAAGAAATAAAACCATAGTATTTTTCACATTTAAAGAACTTTCATCTGAGAGTTAAGGAATGTGAAGAATTAAAATAGACCAGAGGCCTGTACACTGGAATAATACATGCTTAGCATGCATGAAAACCTGGGGCAGCAGCAGGGGGTAAAATCACATTCTAATAGGCCACATTCTGTTTTTCATTTAACCTTCTCTGTAACTACAGTCAGATATCACACTAAACAGGGAGGAGAAGAAAATTAACATTTATTCGGGACAGATGTGTGGAGAAGGCAAGAATTGGGATGTTGAGAGTAAGGACCATCAGGCTGGTTACTTCAAAACTGTCATAGCATCAGCTGTCAACTTGACACAAACTAGTCACCTGGGAAGAGGGAACCTCAGCTGAAGAATTGTCCAAATCAGATTGTGGTCTGTCTTGTGGTCATGTCTGAGGGGCATTTTCTTAATTGCTAATTAATGTAGGAGGGTACAGCCCACTGTGGGTGGTGCCACCCCTAGGCAAGTGAGCCTGGGCAGTATAACAAAGTCAAAGAGGGCTGGAGAGATGGCTCAGTGATTTAGAGCACTGACTGTTTTGCAGAAGACCTAGGGTTGAATCCCAGCACCTATGTAGTGGCTAACAGCTGTCAGTAACTCCAGTTCCAGGGGATCCAGCACCCTCTTCTGGCCTCTGTGGGAACTGCATGACACAGGTGTACTTATATCCATGCAGGCAATACACTCATATACATAAAATAAAAATAATAAAGCTAGAAGGAGCAAGCTGGTAAGCAGCATTCCTCCCTGGCCTCTGCTTCATTTCCTGCCTCCAGGTTTCTGCCTTGGCTTCCCTCCGTAATGGACTGTGACCTGTAAGCCAAATAAACCCTTTTCTCCCCAAGTTGCTTTTGGTCGTGTTGTTTATCACAGACACAGAAAGCAAACTGGGATACTATACCACTAAGCCAAGCGTCAGAACACCTTTGGGGTATGTATACCTCAGATTGAAGGAAGTTAAGCAGATGTTATATGAGTAGAAAGTCCAAAGCGAGACATTCTAGAGACATAGGTTAACATCCCTCTTGCTGAGCCAGTAACTAGGCTAGGTACCTGCTTTTCTGCCATGGGGTTACAGAGAGGAAACTGTCCCTAAGACCATCCTCAGGTTCAGTAATTTGCTAGCACTCATAGAGCTCACTGGCAGCTGTGATGCTCCCTATAGGGCAGAGCCCAGGGGCATTCCAAACACAGAGGTAAAGTTGTATGTCCTAGTGGACAGTGTCAACGCCTGCAGTGATGTCACAATGTGCAGAGCACTGCAATCAGGGAAATTGGGGCTCTATTACATAAGTATAGTCAATTATTCACATGGCTGACCTCAGTCTCCAGTCCTGTTATGGATCAAGCTGTTACCATGTGAGCCGAATCCCCTATCATAACTCATGGGTAGACCATTGAGACCAGCTTGGCCTCCTTGAGACTCCCATTTACAAAGTGAGAAAAAGTTTAGGGAAAATAATAAAATATAAATAAAAAAATGAATGGAAAGTACAGCTGTGAGAGTGTTGGGGGCTAACACCAAGTCCATTTACAAAGGATCTAGGAGAGATTGGGAAGATGAGGAAATGGAGGCAGTTAGGTTAAACTGCTCTTCTAAAACCTTTATCAAAGGAAAGGGGGAGCTCAGAGATGGTCAGGAGGGCTGCAGAGGAAAGCAGGATTGGATGGAGGTAAAGGTGAGCACCCCGGGTATGGACCATGTGTTGACTGCAGTCTCCTGTACAGTGTCTCAGTTCCTCCATGTATTATAGTAGATACTATATTTTACTGATGAACAACTAGAGTTCAGAGTAGATATGTTGTATTAGTGGTAAAGTGGAAATAATAAGGGTACTTACTGTGTTTGATTGCTGTGAGGGTTAAAAGGACTGATTGAGCCTAGTAAGGGTAAAAGGTCAATGCTAGAGTCTGGGGGAGCCTCATGCTTTCAAAGCAGTGCTTGACACCTACCTAGTAGGTACTCAGTAAGTGCTCACTATTGTTATATATGTTTTAATAAAGTTCTGTTTAATAAAATTTAGTCTCAGAGCTGGAGAGGTGGCTCAACAGTTTAGAGCCTATACTGCTCTTACAGAAGACCTGAATTCAGTTCCCGGTACCCATGTTGGGCAGTGCTGCAGCACTCCTGGAACTGCAACTCCAGGGGGATCCTACGCCTCCTTGCCCCTTTGGGCACCTGCATGCCCAGACACACAGAAAGACACACATATTTTTATCTGTGTGTCTGTCTGTGTGTCTGTGTGTCTGTCTGTCTGTCTGTCTATCTATCTAATCTATCGATTTCTATCTATCATCTATCTATCTATCTATATCTATCTATCTATCTGCAGACACACACGTAATTTAATTTTTTAGTCTCCAAAATTTGGTGGAAAGTACATCTTTACATTCTGTTAACATGTGTGTGTTTTTCTTAATCCACTTCAATTGTCAAACTTAAAGTTTAGATGTGTTCTTACTCCCACCCAGTTGAAGTAAATTTTGATATGACGATACGGTTTCATTTGCTGGGCATGAGAGTACACACCATTGATCTCAGCACACAGGAGAATCTCTGTGAGTTCTAGGCCAGCCTGGTCTACATAGAGTTCCAGGTTATCTGAGGCTACACAGTGAGACCCTGTCTCAAAAAAAAAAGGATAATTGTACCCCTTAACTTTAGATGTGTGCCCTTTTTGCTTTACGTATTGTGCATTGTTTTTATTCTCCCTTTTAACTCCAGAATTAAATAGCCACCATGTCGAGCAAAAAAGCAAAGACCAAGACCACCAAGAAGCGCCCTCAGCGTGCAACATCCAATGTGTTCGCCATGTTTGACCAGTCCCAGATCCAGGAGTTCAAAGAGGCCTTCAACATGATTGATCAGAACCGGGATGGCTTCATCGACAAGGAAGACTTGCACGACATGCTTGCTTCTCTAGGTAGACTTCTGTGTGCATTTCCTACATGGGATAATCCATCTCCACTGTGTGAGACTCTCTGTCCCCAAATGCCTCTGCTGAGATTTCAGGTTTGGAAAGTACTAAATTGGTGCTGGGCCTGACAGCCGATCAGCCTGCCAGGGCAGGGACTAGGCAAGTATTGTGGCCAGGTAGCTTATGTTCCTGTTGGCAAAATGCTTAAATTTGTATGGGACTGGAAGCTGGGGGTGGGGCTGGCTAAGTAGCAAAAGATCAGAATTTCTAGTAATCAATATAGCTAGTAATACACTATAGTTAATAAAGGTGGAGGGCAGGTTATAAACAAAGAGGTGACATTTAACACTAATAATGATTATCTCTGGAGAGGAAGGGCAGTGTGACTCAAAAAGGACCCCAGGGAAGGAGACTTCAGAATTTTTTTCTATAGACTATAAACTATTATTTGTTATTGGTTATATGGATGTCAACTTTTATTCCCCATGTGATTTTGTTGGTGTTTGTTTTGACCTTTAAGAGGAGGGGTGGGGCCGGAGCGATGGCTCAAGGTTAAGAGCACTGGCTGCTCTTGCAGAGGATCTAGGTTCAGTTCCCAGAACCTACATGGCAACTAACAGCCTTCTGTAACTTCAGTTCTGGGGCTCTGATACCCTCTTCTGTTCTCCGCAGGCATTGCACGACACAGGTGCACTTGCACACATGCAGGCAATACATCATACACATAAAATAAAAATAAATAAAATTTAAAAAGAGTAAGTGAAGAGAGAAAACTGTACATAGTGAGCCCATTGTTAGCAATGATTTTAAAGTTTGAGGTAAAGAAACAAGCAGCGGATAGATGAGTCCCTTGATGGTCCAGGCACAGGGAGATGGAAGAGAGAAGGCAGAGCTGGTCAGGGGTGCACCAGTGGGTCTTCACTCAGGGTTGTTTTCCTTGGACAACTTACCAGAAAGAAGAAATTGAGGAATTCAAGGGCTCGGGGACAAAGAGAAGGGGGAATTTTGTTATTTTCTTGTGCTTTTAAAACGATTTATTTGTTTTTATTTAGGTGTATATGTATATGCCTCTGTGAGTTTGTGTGCAGTACGTACAGGTGCCTATGGAGGCCAGCAGGCATATCCCTTGGAGCTTGAATTATAGGCAGCTGTGAGCCACTTGGGGTGGATGCTAGGATCTGGGTCCTCTGTAAGAGCAGTAATCTTATTCACTGAACCTTCTCTCTAGCCCCATTCTCTTTTTTTTTTCTTTTAGGTGTAGGAAAAAAAAAATAATAGTTTTTATTTCCATTTTGGGTTTTGATCTTTTTCCTTCTAACATTATTTTGAAAACTTTCAAACTTTAAAAAAAAAAAAATGTTAAAAGGGACCATATTAGCAAGCAGGGATGGGGTCCCTTGCCGACCCACATTCACTAATTGCTAATATTTTGCAACATTTCCTTTATCCAGAGTCAGATTAGAATCAGGATAATTTGTTGACAAGCCAGGTAGATTATAGCCCAGTGCTTCTCACATTCAGAATACCTGAATAGGGGAGTCATTATTACACAAGAAAGCTACTAGCCAGGGTTGGGGCTGGTGCCCTCCAAACACTCAACTTCAAGGTAAACCTAGGCCACATAGTTGCAGGGCTATAGTGAGATCCTGCCTCAACCCTTCCCCCACCAGAACCTCCCCTCCTAGTCCCTCAAAAGAAGTCCACTGGGGAAAGTTGAGGGTCTTAGGACTATTCCAAACATGGAGTGCTCAAGTCCATTCCCTGCTCATAGAAGATCCTCAGTAATTGTTGAATAAATAGGGCATGGTAGAGTAAGAGGTCACATTTGGAAGAAAATTACACTAGATGCCTTGAAGTACATAGATGCTTAGCCTAAACCAATCCTTCTTAGACTCCTGTTTTACCCTCAGAGCTTTCTTGATGTCTTTGGGTTACAGTCATTTCCTCTCATCCCCCAAAAGTGTCATAAGAAAGTTGGGTTGAATCTCCAAATAGAAAAGTAGATATTTTTAATTCTTTGACTTTTTCACTAGATATTTTTGTGCAAGTAAGTTGAGTGGGTATGAGGTGGAATTGTAGTACAACCTAGATAGGTGTCCGTATGTTATTTAAATTTGATCCAAATTCTAGATTGGACTATCAGCACCACTTAGTTGATTGTAATTCTGAACTGCTTCCTTAGATCTGAATGGTCAACACATTCTTTTCATATATACAGACTTGAAAGGGACCTTTGAGTAACTGACTTCAGCCAGTCCCTTTTACAGATTCAAAAAAGGAGACCCTAGATGGGAATAAACTGCATTGAGCTCAGGATCTGGAGTACTGGGTTTGAATTCCAGTTCTGCCATCTTTCCCAGGCCTTATAACCAGTAGGTTAACTGGTATTCAAACCCAGTCTCCCAGACCTTTGCTGCAGTGGGCTTTACAGATATTCCCCATTGACTCTGTGGTGATCTCTCATATCAGGAGAGCCCTCTAACAGCTCCTAAAGAATTGTTCTCAGTGGGAACTTTTTTTTTTTTTTTATTTAACACCGACACTCCAGTTCAAGATTGGCATGGTGGCTCACATTTGTAATCTCAGCACTTAGAATCTGAGACAGAGGATTGCTAAGGATTTGAAACTAACCTGGGCTTAGAGACAGAGGGGGGGGCGGGGAAACAAACTTCTGTAAGCGGCATTTGGGGCTGACACCTAATAGTACATTATTTAATATTGTTCATTGTTCAAATAACTAGTATTGAAATACCTCCCCTAATAAACTATTAATATAATCAACGTTCAATATGTAATAATGTGGCATTTCCTGGTTCATAGTTTCAGGGCTTTGTTTTGCTGCATTTTCAGTAAGGTGACTCAGTGAGTAAAGGCATTTCCCATAGGCGTGAGTTCAATCCCAGAATCCATGCTGGAAGGAGAGAAACATCTTCCTCGAAAGTTATCCTCTGTCCTTCATGCATGCAGCATGGCATGTGCACACACAAATGTTTTTCTGTAGAGTTTTTTGTTTATTTGTTAGTTTGTTTTTTAAACAGGGTCTCTCTATAGCCCCAGCTGGCTGGAATTCCCTGTGTCAACCAGGCTGGCCTTGATCTGCTTCCTGAATGCTGGATTAAAGACATGCACCACCACCAGTTTTTTTTTTCTTTTTTATATGTCTGTGAGTGCAGTTTTAAAAAGCTTTAAAAATATATGTTTGGTAGCATAACAGTAACAAGGTAACTCCTGACTGGTGGGAAATTTTTGTTCAAATGTGAATTCTTACAGGGAAGAATCCCACTGACGCATACCTGGACGCCATGATGAATGAGGCCCCGGGCCCCATCAATTTCACCATGTTCCTCACCATGTTTGGGGAGAAGTTGAATGGCACAGATCCTGAAGACGTCATCAGAAATGCCTTCGCTTGCTTTGATGAAGAAGCAACTGGTAGGTGATGCTGCTGTGTGTTCCTCCTCGTTTCAGGGAGTAAGGAAAATAATTTCTTTAAATGGCTGCAAAGAAACTTATTTATAGCAATACAACCAGAGATGAGGCAGGCCTTAAAACTGCAGTTTGTGTTGTTCACCTTTAAATTTGGCTCCATGCTTCCTAAAAAATCCAAAGAATTAAATATCTTCCGTGGGCAATGAGAACTAATCTTCGAGAGACACTCAATTTCTCTAAAAAGTATAGTTTCTGACTTGAACAGTTGCTGTGTTCTGGGTTTCTGGGGTTTCCTCAGGGTTTTGTTTTGTTTGTTTTTGTTTTTCTTTCAATTTCTCTTTGGAGAAACTGAGGTGAGGAGCCCTTCCCTCACCTTCCTCCTCTTAGCCTTTTCCTCTCAGGTTTCCCCTTTGCTTCCGTACTAACCCTCCGCTCCCCTGCTCTCTCCTCGCTCTCTCCTGGCTTTCCCACTCCTGAACCTTTGCTCTGGACAGCAACCTTTTCATTTTTATTTGACTTTATGTTTTCGTAGTGGATTTTTATTGATCTCTAAAAAAAACTCTTAAGATTAATTTTTGCAAGCATATACCCAATCTATTTTGAAGCTCTTATAATAATAAAGAACCCCCAAGTGATTGGAATGCAATGGCATAGAGATAGCATAGCTGGCTTGGGGATTTATTGTGTGTGGTGTAGATGATGGATGGTCTGAAACAAGATTGGTGGGATTTAGAAAAGAGCCCTTCTCGTCCCGTGACCCCTTCCTGAGTCCATGCTTTCCATTGCCTTCCAGGCACCATCCAGGAGGATTACCTGAGAGAGCTGCTGACCACCATGGGTGATCGGTTTACAGATGAGGAAGTGGATGAGCTCTACCGAGAAGCCCCCATTGACAAAAAGGGGAATTTCAATTACATCGAGTTCACACGCATCCTCAAACACGGGGCAAAGGACAAAGACGACTGAGAGCACTTAGCTCCACCTTTCCATTTCTGGCGTCTCACTGTTTGGTTTCTCACACACTTCCTGCCCTCTTAGAACCTGTTGCATGCAACATAGCTTCACAGCTTTGCCTCCCACCCTTCTTTTGATGTATTTATTCCAAGTCTTTCTGTCACTTAGGACTTGTATAATCAAACTGGAAATGGGGACAAGGTTGTAAATTGTATTGATAATGAGATGCGAATAAAAATCAACAAATGTGAAAGCCCAGGAAAATATATCCGTATTTCTGGTTTTGCTGGATTTTTACATTTTTATATAATAAAAATACTATTTTGAAATAAAGGTTATGCTGACTCAAGTGGAGTGTGAGGTAGTTGGGAGTGGTCCTTTTTTCAGGTTTTCAGTTCTATCAGAATTCATGATAAAGTATGGGACAGGGAACGTGTTCTTTAGACTTGTTAAATACACCTTCTCTAGCATCTTTATACAGTAAAAGCTAGTTATATCTTTGATCTCTTTCATGCTTCTAGTGAGATGTCTAATGGTTAGTATAGAATGTTAGCTAGAAAAACAGTAGATTTTTTTTTTTTTGGTCTTTTTGAGACAGGGTCTCCCTGTAGCCCCAGCTGTCTTGCTATGTAGACAGGCTGGCCTTGAACTCACAGAAATCTGCCTGCCCCTGCCTCCCGAGTGCTGGGATTAAAGGCATGCACTACCACGCCTGGCTACAATAGATATTTTTTTATTGCTCTAAGAGTATAAGAAAATATAAAATTATGGAGAAGTGAACAATTGTTGCTGAACATTTACTGTGTATGGGGTGTTGTGCATTCATGGTTTTTATTGCATCTTCCCACCTTTCGGATGATAGATTGTCACTAGTCCTGGATTGGGAAGGTGGCATGCTTGATGGGGATCAAACCCACAACTTTCATGCATTAAACATGCTGTATCACTGAGCTACATGTCCCCAGCCTCTAGCCCTGTTCTTTAAGTGGGGGCACTGAGCTCAGAAGTTGAGTGAGTGGATTATTCAGTCACTCTTGGTAAGAGCTGCTAACTCAGAGCTCATAGGACCAGAACCAAGATCTCTGAAAAGCCTCAAGTACACAAAAGTGCTAGGACATTTCCATTACATCATAACAGAACTCAGTAGTCATTGTTGACATTTTACAATAACCTTGGAGATGGATCAGCAGTTAAGAGCATTGGCCGCTCTTGCAGAAGATCCAGGTTTGGTTCCCACCACCCACGTGAACCATGTATAACTCCAGGTCCAGGGGATCTAATGTCCTCTTCTGGTCTCAGGCATTGGATGCATGTGGCGCACTTATATTCAAGCAGGTGAAACACAAATAAAAAATAAATGATGTTGGAGTAAATGATTATTTTAACAAAGTTGTGGAAATTTTTAATCCCAGGTAGAAAACAGACTGGAGATCTAGCTTGGTGGTAGGCCCGTGCATATGCAAAGACCTGGATCCAAAACCCAGTTTAAAATAACAATAAAAGATAAACAAGTAATTATGAATGTTTGAAGGCAGTTTACTTGGTGTAGATTGAGAAGCAGATCATTATGAGCACATTTAAAATCCCCAAAGCCATGTGAAAAGTAAAAGATCTAAAGTAGGAAAAAAAAATCTAGAAGTTTAGGGGGCTGGAGAGATGGCTCTGTGGTTAAGAGCACTGGCTGCTCTTGCAGAGGATCTGGGTTTGAGTCCCAGCACCCACATGGTGGCTAACAACCATCTGTAACTCCAGTGCCAGGGGATCCAACACCCTCTTCTGATCTCCACAGGGACTCACGAAGTGAATGCACTTATATGTAGGCAATACACTTATACACATAAAAATAATAATAAAAAAAAAAAACCCAAAGTTTGGTGTGTTCCAACACCTGTTTTCCCTCCTAAGTGAGTTGTGTCTGCTTGAAAGCAGTACATTTATGTATTTGATGTTTGTGCTTCACTGCTTGGTGCAGCATTTTATCTGCATTCACTTGCTGTCCTTGTATTCTGCTCTCCTTACCAGCTTTAAGATGAGGCAGGATGTTCAGTTTAGGTGGGCTACAGCAGTGCTTTGCAGTTCAGGTGGGCACTCACACTCCAAAGTTATTAACTTCATGAGGAGTGATTCCTACTTCATTGACAAGTTGATCGAGAAAACCTGAAGCTCCCATGAAGCACCACAAGTACAAGCGTGCACTTCAGGTCCCCCTTCCCACAGAAGTCACCACACAGTGTCACAAAACCCGATAGAGAATTGCCGTTATGGGTAAGGCAAAGCGGAAAGAAAGATCACCAAGCCACTTGTCAGTTGCCTTTTACCTGACAAACCCTTGTGTTGCTGACTGAAGGTCAAGACTGACAGCACAGACATGGCTGTTCTTAGAGGGCTCAAATTCTCTAGGGAGAGATGGACACTAAACAATGTCCAATAAGTGCTATGCAGCAGCAGATGGTGTGCCTGGCAGGAAAGAGCCCAAGGAGGAGCTCTGAATGATAACGGGGTTCCCGTGCAAAGACCAGGGTGAGGCTCCCCACTCACAGGAGACACCCTCTCCCAAGGCAAAGGCGATAACCTGGGCAGAGCTCAAAGATGTTCTCAACGCCAGGATGACGGCGCTGCAGTCCAGGGGTGGAATCCCAGCACTTTAGGTAAGGAAGAAACATTTTTGTGTTTGAAAAACCCACTGTGCTGTGTCTAGCTAGAATAGTGGGCAAAAAAGAGGGCAGGGAGCTGCAGTCAGCATCCGAGATGCAGCAACTTGGCATTGGCTAATGGAGACTGCTGTCCTGGCCTATGACATGGAGTCCAGCTTCGCCTTGTTACAACCACCTCTGGCACACGTGTAGTGCATTTATTTTATCACTGTGCTTAAAACCAGATTGGCAGGGGGAGGGCTGGAGAGATGGCCTAGTGGTTAAGAGCACTGGCTGCTCGACCCAGGTTCGATTCTCAGCACCCACATGGTCTGTAACTTCAGTTCCAGGGGAACCCGACACCCTCTTCTGAGCTCCATTGGCATTGCATGACATGGGTGCATTTACATACAGGCAATACATTCATTCAAGTAAAATAAAATATTTTTTAAAGAAACAGATTGGGGGAAAAATGGGTGTGGGATACCAGGAGGTGATCTGAGGATTTAAACAAAACAAAAACTTAGCTATTTATCAAATGAATGCCTGCTGGGTACCTGATATACACTCTGTTTCATCTGAATTCTATAAAGAGTAAGGGATCCAGCAGTGTAAGCACCAGGACCATTTTTTTCTCCTTTTCAGTGTCCAATAAATAACCTTGGTGTTGATGAAAAAATCTCTACCGTCTTTTTGAGAACCTTGATCCTATGTCCACTGCAGTGTGTGTGTGTGTGTGTCTGTGTGTGTGTGTGTGTCTGTGTGTGTGTGTCTGTCCATATGTCTGTCTGTAAATTGCTTAAATTGCATGGAGAGGGCTGGTGATGTAGGTCAGTTGGTAGAGGGCTTACCTGGCATGTACCCTGAAGCCCTAGGTTCAATCTCCAACTGCATAAAGAAACAAATAGTGACACGACTAATCTCAGCACCGGGGAGGTGGAGGCAGGAAAATTAGAAGTTCAAGGTCATCCTTGGCTACATAGAGAGTTTGAGACCAGCCTGGCCTGCATGAAACCCTGTCTCAATAAATAAATAAAACATACTGAGTCCTTTCCTCTTATGGTAAAGAATGGATTCTACCTCTAGGTGGAGACATGCCATTATCTCCTCCCTTTAAGAGTTAATCGGAAATCCCCGGTAGAAACAGAGGCGGGTGGATCTCTGTGAGTTTGAGCCCAGCCTGGTCTACATAGCTGTTTCCAAGCCAGTGAGAACTACATAGACCTTCTCTCAAAAGAAAAAAGTTAATCCAGCAGTTGGACAGGTCAATCACTTGGTCAAGGGATCACCCCTCAGGAAGATGGGTCCACCTTAAGCCATGCTAGAGACATATAGTTATCCCTTTAGACAATGTACTTTTCCTTCCTAGAATCCCACCCTCTGTGCAGTTGATCCAGGGCAGCCCCAAGGCTCTGTTGGCTCTGCCCCCTTTTTCTGAGTCCTGACTCAGGCATAACTTTTTCTTTTTCTGCTCTTTCTTTCTTTTGGATACTGGTCAGACCCTAAGGCTGCTGCTTCTGGTGTTTTAGGCTTCCTTACTCTTTCTCTAAAGCTCCTTCCTCTCATGTGGCTGCATGTCCACCTTGTGGCTGACCTCCATGCCAGATTAAAACTCAAATGGCATTTTTGCCTGGCAGCTTGCCTGAGACTAAGAACCCCAAAGGGGGACCCTGATTTCTCTGATATCACTCTGTACTAAGCACGATACACTACTGTCCTTTGTCTTTTGATGTAGGTATTTTTATCATTTTGTTTGTACAGATGAGGTTGAGAATGACTTCTCCAGCTAGTAAGCAGCGGGGCTGTAATCTGAGCCCAGGCTGTGTAGCTCCAGAGAGCACATGTATCCTAGGAAAGTGACAATTAGAAATGATACTAGTGTATGCAGCAGGTTTTGTTTTGAAAGCTTTTGAAATTTTATGTGTATGAGTATTTTTCCTGCTTGTATGTAAGTGTACCATACGTGTACAGTGTGCCCTTGGAGGCCAGAAGAGGGTATAGGCAGTTGTGAACCATTATGTGGGTGGGACTGAACCTGGATCTTCTGCAAGAGGAGCAAGTACTCTTAACCACTGAGCCATCTCTACAGCTCAGCTGAAAAGCCTTTGTCATTGTGTTTTGTTCTCTGAACACAAGGGGATGGATAATGTAGACATTGTTATCCTATTTTATATGTAAGAACACTAAAGTACAGAAATTCCCTGGTTTGCCCGACTTTATTTCACTAGACAGGATCTAGCTTCTGAACTTTCTGACCAAGACATTAAGCCTATAATTTCCTAATAGTACCCATAGCCTGATCAGGATGCCTTACAATTACAGGGGAGTTAAAATTTCCCTCCATTCTTTAAAGGATCAATAATATGAGTCACTGAACTAAGTTGACAATAGACCAATAACAGAAAAAGCATATAAACTTAGCTGCACATGCGCTGGAGCCTCACAGACTCAAGGCAGGCCCATGACTGGTGGTTGCCATCCCAATCCAAAACGAATATGAGCTAAGGCTTAGGGAGTGGGGATGGGGGGCATTGGGAAGAGGAGGGGAGGAAATCTATAGCTGACAAAAATTTTCTTGTTCTGCAGATAAAATCTCCCTAGGCGGAGCCTCTAGAGCAGTAAGTGGTGGCCTGGGGCAGAAGCTTTGGACATGGCAGTCTCTTCCTGTGCTATGATCTTCCCTAGAGTGCTCTTTAGGCAGAAAGGGGACCACAAG